CATACAGGGTTAATAAAACTATTCCACACTGATTGGGTCAACAGGAAGGGTGGTGGGTGTATTAGCGTGTATATGTCAGAGAAATTTAAATTGTTGTCTTAGACATGCTATAAGATTATGAACATTGAACACAGAATCTGTTTGGGCTACAGTTTCTCAGGGGACATTGACAAATTAATTTTGGGTGTGATTTATAGGCCCCCAAACTGATAGGGAGGGGCAGTAAGCTGTTAGGGGACGAAATTTCATAAGGCATCTAGATATGAAAATGTTGTGGAATGGGAGATTTTAACTTTGACAAATTGATTGGAACAATATGACAGGAAATCTTGAGTCTAGTGACTTTCTTGATTACGGTTCCAGGATTGCTTGTTAGAACAGGGTTGTGACAGAACCAACTAGAGGAAAACAATCTGCATGACTTGGTTTTGCCAACAAAAGATTCACACTAATTAATAATCTGAGGTTAATGAATGAGCTTGGGAAAGTGATCACAAAATCACTTAAGTTTCATATATCATGGAGTATTACCCAGATAACTGCCAATCAAATCTCTGTCCTGATTTTCGGCCTTGGCCGACTTCATGGGGACTGGAAAAATTACCTGGGTGGGCTAAATTGGGATGTCCTGACTACGGGGTCAGGTAGGTGAATACTTGGTTGCCAATATGAGTTTTTTAGAGCATCAGTTCTAGATGCCACAGACACTTTTGTTCGAATAGGGGAATTAGATCTACAAAATGTTCCCAAATGGATTAACAGTAGATTAAAAACATCTCGTGGTCAAAAGAAAGGCAATATAGGCGTATCAAAAGAGGGGGATGTAGGCAGTTAAGAATATCAATATATTCAATTAAAGAGAGAAATCAAGAAAGGAAATAAGAAAAACCAAAAAAGGGATTATGAAGGACTAAAGTCACCAGGGATTCAACAAAGACTACCCTCAAAGGGTCTTTCATGGTATACAGAATAGATTAGGGACAAGATTGGCCCACTTAAAGAGTACTCTGGTTAGATCACTGACAGTGATAAGGATTTCATGTGTGATTCTCAATACCTACTTCCTCTCAGTTTTCACCCAGGAAAATACTAGCCTGTATTCCTGAAACAATAGATTATGTAGAACATGATGATAATAAACTATGTACAATTGCAGTAACTAGTGACGCTGGTCCTAGCAATAGAGAAACTAAAACTTACAAAATTCCCAGGCCCTGATGAACTGTTTTCAAGGTGTGTTAAAGGAATGTAAAAGAGGAACTTAGCATACTCTTTGTCTAATCCTTTTTTAACATATCACTACAAACTGGCATAGTGCCTGATAAGTGGAAATTGGGCAAATGTACTACCTATTAACAAGGCAGGTGACAGGTTTGGCTTCGAAACTATAGACCATTAAGCCATACCTTCCATATTGGGAAAAATTTATGGAATCAATCAATTTGGCAAAAGCAATTCGTAGCCATCTTGACAGGCACAGATTGATTAATGAATTCAGCAGGTTTTACAAGGGGCGTTCCTGTTTACGAATTTATGGACTTTTTTTCACTAAGGTGTTTGAGGAGGTAGATAATGGTAATGAATATGATTTGTGTATATGGACTTCAGTAAGGCTTTCAATAGAGTTCACACAGAGGCTATGAGAAACTTAGGCACACGGAATAGGAGGAGAGATTTTTTCCTGGGCTTGAGGCTGGCCTGACAAATTAAGACAGCAGAGAATTTGCTTAAATGGGAGTGAAAAATCAGAATGGGGGGCACGTCACAAGCAGTGGTCCTCAGGGGTCAGTGTTGGGCCCATTGTTGTTCACAGTATACAATAAACGACATAGATGAGGGAATAATAGCGAACCATATACAAATTTTGCTGATGACACCAATATAGGCCGTCAATTAATTTAATGAGGACACTAGAGCCTCAGGATGATTGGAATAGACTGATGCAAGGTCAGAGAAGTGGTAGATGCAGTTTAATATTTGACAAATGCAAGTTCATAAATGTGGACAGTTTAAATAACCCATGCCACATATAAACTAAATAATTGTAGATCTTTAATACTATGATTGCGAAAAGGATTTTAGGAGTTCTGGGTTAGCAGTAATAAACCAAGAACAGTGCATTAGCTGTTTGCAAATAAAGCTAACAGGAAATCTTGGCTTCATATCTAGATGTTCAGTATAAATAATATACGTTCCTCAGGCATGTTCTTCAGACTATACATACCTTGGTTAGCACATTTTGGACTATGTGCTCACAGTTATGGTTCAACGTATTACAGAATGGATATTAATGCTCTGGAAAAATTGAGAGGAGGATGACAACATGACTCCCATGTATCAGAATTGTTCTTATGAGGATAGACTGAGGGCCCTGAATCTGCACTCTCTTGAAAGGCGTGTAGAATTAGGGGGATTATGATCGAGGGGTTACGTAAATGGAAACAGAAAATAAATAAATGGGATTGTAAATAGCGTTCATGAAAATTTCCAGCCAAGACAGGACTCGCTGCAATGGTTCAAGTTGGAAAATTCAGATTCAGGAGGATATAGGAAAACGACATGGTTTGGTAATAGAGTTGTGGATGAGTGGAACAAACTCCCGTGTACCGTTATTCAGGCTAAACGTTTTGTAGTTTTTAAAAAATAGGTAAAGATAAATACATGAGGTGGGTGTGGGTGGGTGTGAGTTGGAACCTGACTAGCATGTGGCTTGCTGTGTCGGTGCAGTGCTCCATCTTGAGTGGGGTGACAGGCTGGGTGGGTCATTGGGCTAATCCGGGGTGGAGGGGTCATTGGTCTAATCTGGGGGGGGGACATGGACCTGCTCTGCTTGGGTCTGTAGGCCTGTTGCAGTGTTTCTTTCTTTCTTATGTTCTTAAAAAAAATTACTTATTGCATAAGATGCTTTTAGAGATCAGTTATTACTGTAATTATAGATAATATATATCATAATTTTAAAAGGTGTTGAACCAGTAAGCCAGCGGAAGACCTCGGTCAGATGACAAAGATAAAAAGGCGGTGTCATCATCTGACTAAGACCTGCGTCAGAAAATTTGTCCTCTTTCTTGACAAACATTACTAAACCTAACTAGTTATAACATGTACCTGCTGAGCTACAATACAAATATGGGAACACCCAATCGCTGTACTATTGTATTCTTTTACATATAACTCTTTTATAAAGTTTATGAAGGCTAGATGGATGTTCATACATGTCTGGTACTACATGTATTCTGATTTTCCATGTGAAAGTGCTAATGAAACCACAGAATAGAGAAGCCACTGCAGCTGGCCTATTGCCTTGTGTACCCAGTCAAAGTAGATAGGGAACATTCAGTGTATGCAAAAAAATGCAGGACCCAATGGAAATAAAGGACCCAATGGAAAAATAAGTCACTGTCTGACTTTTTTGGGTATCCCTTTTTTAAGGGGTTTTTTTATTTTTCTACACATATGCTGCTATGTATGATAATTTCTATGTATACTGTATTTGTGTATACCTGAATAAACTTAATACTACTTACTTACAGAAAAAAGTGGGAGGATAGAACCACAGGTCAGCTTTTAAAGTGCAAATAGGGAAATGCAAATGTGCATGACTTCAAGGAAAGCTAGAAATTTTTTTTTTTTTTTATGGTGTGATTATGTTCGGGAGGATCTCACTTCAAGGACCATTACATTGTATCATCAGCATCTGCTAGAAAAATGGACAGGATGGATATGAGAACCTTCAAAAACTAGGGAGGCCAAGCCCATGTTGACACTCTTCAGGTCACTGTTCTATCTGGGCTGGAATATTGCTGCACTCTAACAGCACCTTTAAAGGGCAGGTGAAATTGCCGACCTAGAAAATGTACAGAGAACTTTCACGGCGCGCATAACGGAGATAAAACACCTCAATTACTGGGAGCGCTTGAGGTTTCTAAACCTGTATTCTCTGGAACGCAGGAGGGAGAGATACATGATTATATACACCTGGGAAAATCCTAGAGGGACTAGTACCGAACTTGCACACGAAAATCACTCACTACGAAAGCAAAAGACTTGCAGACGATGCCACCATCCCCCAATGAAAAGCAGGGGTGTCACTAGCACGTTAAGAGACCATACAATAAGTGTCAGGGGCCCGAGACTGTTCAACTGCCTCCCAGCACACATAAGGGGGATTACCAACAGACCCCTGGCAGTCTTCAAGCTGGCACTGGACAAGCACCTAAAGTCAGTTCCTGATCAGCCGGGCTGTGGCTCGTACGTTGGTTTGCGTGCAGCCAGCAGCAACAGCCTGGTTGATCAGGCGCTGATCCACCAGGAGGCCTGGTCACAGACCGGGCCGCGGGGGCGTTGACCCCCGAAACTCTCTCCAGGTAAACTCCAGGACTGTAATTATTTTTGCATAAATACTGACCCTGTAGGTAGTAGGTTGGTAGACAGCAACCATCCAGGGAGGTACTACCGTCCTGCCAAGTGAGTGTAAAACGAAAGCCTGTAATTATTTTTCCAAGATGGTAGGATTGCTGGTGTCTCTTTTCCGTCTCATAAACATGCAAGATTTCAGGTACGTCTTGCTACTTCTTACACTTCGGTCACACTTCACATACATGTACAAGCATATATACACACACACCCCTCTGGGTTTTCTTCTATTTTCTTTCTAGTTCTTGTTCCTGTTGATTTCCTTTTATCTCCATGGGGAAGTGGAACAGAATTCTTCCTCCGTAAGCCATGCGTGTTGTAAGAGGCGACTAAAATGCCGGGAGCAAGGGGATAGTAACCCCCTTCTCCTGTATATATTACTAAATGTAAAAGGAGAAACTTTCATTTTTCCTTTTGGGCCACCCCACCTCGGTGGGATACGGCTGATGTGTTGAAAGAAAAAGAAATACTGATCCTGCTCCCATAACTATTTCACGAAGCATTATGTGTAAACTTTAATATTTGTATTCCTCCCAAAACTATTTCACAAAGTATCATGTGTGAACTTTAATATTTGTATTCTACAGGACAGGTGTACATGGAAGACAGACAAGTGTTCATCTGGACAGGTAACAGATGTGCATGATACTCCTGTTGGTCCTCCTGCATGGCAGGAGCCCTCTACCACAACCACCACCACCACCACCACAACTACCACAACTACCACCACCACCATGGCCACCTGGGAAAAACCCATCATTTCAGATCCTGGTACTCCCTCTGAACCTCAACCTCCGGTCTTCCCTCCCAGTGAATACATGGTGAGATCATCTCATTTCTTTCACCTGATATCCCACTTAATCACTTTTGCACCTTTTCCATCCTAGTATAACCCTATCTTTTTATTTGTCTTCTTTTTAAGGATGAGATGATACCAAAATTTCTCAATATCAGTATTCAATTGCAGTCCAATACCAATACTACTGATACCGATAGCATCAAAATTAGTCAATACCAATACAGTGGAACCCCGGTTTTCGTCCGGTCCAGTTATCATACAATTCAGTGCTTGACCACTTTTCTGGGAAATTCCCCCCGTTTTTGTACATCTGCTCGAAAATCGTCCATACCAGATACGTCCGCCTGCCCGTGGGACGCGACCACTCATACGTTCGTGATTCAGTCTGCCTTTGTTACTCATTCAGTGAGCCAGAATGTGACCTCCAGAAGGATTTTGAAGGGTTTGAAGCTGACCCTATGCCCGTGATGGAATCTGTTGTGTCTTTGGGGAAGTCCATGGGGTTGGAGGTGAGTGGCCAGGATGTGGAAGTGTTGATGGACGACCATGGGGACGAGCTAACCACTGAAGAGCTGCAAGACCTTCATCTGAAACAGCAACAGACCTTAGCTGAGGAAATTGCTTCAGAGGAGGAGGAAGAGAGAGGGAAGAATGTGCCTTCAGCGATTAAGGACATTTGTACAAAGTGGAGAGAGGTGCAAAGTTTTGTGGAAAAACATCACCCTAACAAAGCTGTTGCAAATTGAAGATTGAGACACTTATGCAGCATATGGAAATCTTTATTCAGGAAACGTTTCGCCACACAGTGGCTTCATCAGTCCAGTACAAAGAGGAAGGCGTAAGGAGAGGAGGAGAATGAGGTAATCAGTCCCTCAACCTGGAGTCGATGTGTTCAGTCCATCAATCTTGTAGAATGTACAGCATAGGGCCATAGACGTGGCTTATATACTGTAGTGAGGTGACGTGAAGCAGATGGAGGCGGGGTCATAGTGGTACCATCCACTAGTCGAAGTAGGTCTTCGTCCAAAGGTTGAACAAGTGTTGAAGAATTCTTTGTAACAAGATCCCATGATGCTGCAGTGTCTGACAGTTGTGATGAATGGTTTGAAAAACCGACAAGTTGAAGATTGAGACACTTATGCAGCATATGGAAATCTTTATTCAGGAAACGTTTAGCCACACAGTGGCTTCATCAGTCCAATACAAAGAGGAAGGCGTAAGGAGAGGAGGAGAATGAGGTAATCAGTCCCTCAACCTGGAGTCGATGTGTTCAGTCCATCAATCTTGTAGAATGTACAGCATAGGGCCGTAGACGTGGCTTATATACTGTAGTGAGGTGACGTGAAGCAGATGGAGGCGGGGTCATAGTGGTACCATCCACTAGTCGAAGTAGGTCTTCGTCCAAAGGTTGAACAAGTGTTGAAGAATTCTTTGTAACAAGATCCCATGATGCTGCAGTGTCTGACAGTTGTGATGAATGGTTTGAAAAACCGACAAGTTGAAGATTGAGACACTTATGCAGCATATGGAAATCTTTATTCAGGAAACGTTTTTGCCACACAGTGGCCTTCATCAGTCCAATACAAAGAGGAAGGCGTAAGGAGAGGAGGAGAATGAGGTAATCAGTCCCTCAACCTGGAGTCGATGTGTTCAGTCCATCAATCTTGTAGAATGTACAGCATAGGGCCGTAGACGTGGCTTATATACTGTAGTGAGGTGACGTGAAGCAGATGGAGGCGGGGTCATAGTGGTACCATCCACTAGTCGAAGTAGGTCTTCGTCCAAAGGTTGAACAAGTGTTGAAGAATTCTTTGTAACAAGATCCCATGATGCTGCAGTATATAAGCCACGTCTACGGCCCTATGCTGTACATTCTACAAGATTGATGGACTGAACACATCGACTCCAGGTTGAGGGACTGATTACCTCATTCTCCTCCTCTCCTTACGCCTTCCTCTTTGTATTGGACTGATGAAGCCACTGTGTGGCGAAACGTTTCCTGAATAAAGATTTCCATATGCTGCATAAGTGTCTCAATCTTCAACTTGTCGGTTTTTCAAACCATTCATCACAACTGTCAGACACTGCAGCATCATGGGATCTTGTTACAAAGAATTCTTCAACACTTGTTCAACCTTTGGACGAAGACCTACTTCGACTAGTGGATGGTACCACTATGACCCCCCTCCATCTGCTTCACGTCACCCACTACAGTATATAAGCCACGTCTACGGCCCTATGCTGTACATTCTACAAGATTGATGGACTGAACACATCGACCCGGGTTGAGGACTGATTACCTCATTCTCCTCCTCTCCTTTACGCCTTCCTCTTTGTTTTGGGGACTGATGAAGCCACTGTGTGGCAAACGTTTCCTGAATAAAGATTTCCATATGCTGCATAAGTGTCTCAATCTTCAACTTGTCGGTTTTTCAAACCATTCATCACAACTGTCAACACTGCAGCATCATGGGATCTTGTTACAAAGAATTCTTCAACACTTGTTCAACCTTTGGACGAAGACCTACTTCGACTAGTGGATGGTACCATTTTATGACCCCGCCTCCATCTGCTTCACGTCACCTCACTACAGTATATAAGCAAGTCTACGGCCCTATGCTGTACATTCTACAAGATTGATGGACTGAACACATCGACTCCAGGTTGAGGGACTGATTACCTCATTCTCCTCCTCTCCTTACGCCTTCCTCTTTGTATTGGACTGATGAACCACTGTGTGGCGAAAGGGTTTCCTGAATAAAGATTTCCATATGCTGCATAAGTTCTCAATTTTTCAACTTGTCGGTTTTTCAAACCATTCATCACAACTGTCAGACACTGCAGCATCATGGGATCTTGTTACAAAGAATTCTTCAACACTTGTTCAACCTTTGGACGAAGACCTACTTTGACTAGTGGATGGTACCACTATGACCCCGCCTCCATCTGCTTCACGTCACCTCACTACAGTATATAAGCCACGTCTACGGCCCTATGCTGTACTTTCCCTACAAGATTGATGGACTGAACACATCGACTCCAGGTTGAGGGACTGATTACCTCATTCTCCTCCTCTCCTTACGCCTTCCTCTTTGTATTGGACTGATGAAGCCCTGTGGTGGCGAAACGTTTTCCTGAATAAAGATTTCCATATGCTGCATAAGTGTCTCAATCTTCAACTTGTCGGTTTTTCAAACCATTCATCACAACTGTCAGACACTGCAGCATCATGGGATCTTGTTACAAAGAATTCTCTCAACACTTGTTCAACCTTTGGACGAAGACCTACTTCGACTAGTGGATGGTACCACTATGACCCCGCCTCCATCTGCTTCACGTCACCTCACTACAGTATATAAGCCACGTCTACGGCCCTATGCTGTACATTCTACAAGATTGATGGACTGAACACATCGACTCCAGGTTGAGGGACTGATTACCTCATTCTCCTCCTCTCCTTACGCCTTCCTCTTTGTATTGGACTGATGAAGCCACTGTGTGGCGAAACGTTTCCTGAATAAAGATTTCCATATGCTGCATAAGTGTCTCAATCTTCAACTTGTCGGTTTTTCAAACCATTCATCACAAAGCTGTTGCAAGCCATGTCAGCAACATGTTCAATGACATTGCTGTGTCCCATTTAAGGCAAATCTTAAAGAGATGCCAGAAACAGACCTCTCTGGACTGATTTTTTGTTTGACAGGGGTCCAGTGACTCTCAAGCTGGTCCTAGTGCCAGTAAAAGACAAAGAAGGGAAGTAACCCTGAATAGGGCCTTGATACCTGGAGTCCTTATGGAGGGGGATTCCCCTTCCAAACATTAACCTCTCCTCATCCCTCTCCCCTCCTTATATTTATTTCTCATTGTTTTCTGTATGTAAAACTATAGTTATTCTGTATATTTTTTTTTTTTTTTTTAATATTTTTGGGTGTTTGGAATGGATTAATTGGATTTACATTATTTCGTATGTGAAATATTACTTTAGTTTTCGTACAAATCTGTTTTCAGCCGACCTTCTGGTACAGATTAAAGATGAAAACCGGGGTTCTACCGTACTACTACTACCATCAAAATTAGCTGATACCTACCAATTCTTTATTGTTAGAACTTAATTAACTTTAACTTCAGTGATTTCTCTCGTGTTCTCATTTTCATCTGCTTGCAGTACAAAGACTAACGAGCCTTGTACATGTGTTTGGTGCAGATTGTGTGTTATTTCACCAACTGGGCATGGTATCGTCAGGGACCAGCCAAGTACAGACCTGAGAACATTGACCCAAGCTTATGTACCCATATTGTGTATGGTTTTGCTGTCCTTGACTCTACTCGACTCCTAATTAAACCACATGACACCTGGGCTGACTATGACAATGGTCAGTATTTTGTATATTTGTTTAGTAGGAACTTTTGATTCATTAACATAATTATGCATTACTATTTTTTCTTACCTGTTTGGTAATATTAATTTTGAGCTTTGTGTGTGTTATTCTCTTTTGGAATATAAAATATTTCTGAATGTGTGAAGCTTGGGTTGTAAATGCTGCAGCGAGGAGGTGGTTGGAGGCAGTGGAGATGTCCTGTCTAAGGGCAATGTGTGGTGTAAATATTATGCAGAAAATTTGGAGTGTGGAAATTAGGAGAAAGTGTGGAGTTAATAAAAGTTGTAGTCAGAGGGCTGAAGAGGGTTTGTTGAGGTGGTTTGGTCATTGAGAGAGAATGGATCAAAGTAGAATGACATGGAGAGCGTATAAATCTGTAGGGGAAGGAAGGCGGGGTAGGGGTCGTCCTCGAAAAGGTTGGAGGGAGGGGGTAAAGGTGGTGTTGTGAGCAAGGGGTTTGGACTTCCAGCAAGCGTGCATGAGCATGTTACATAGGAGTGAATGGAGACGAATGATATTTGGGACCTGACAAGCTGTTGGAGTGTGAGCAGGGTAATATTTAGTGAAGGGACTTAGGGAAACCGGTTACAGTATTTTATATAATCAGACTTGAGTCCTGGAAATGGGAAGTACAATGCCTGCACTCTAAAGGAGGGGTTTGGGATATTGGCAGTTTGGAGGGATTTATTGTGTATTTTTATACGTATATACTTCTAAACTGTTGTAGTCTGGGCACCTCTGCAAAAACAGTGATTATGTGTGAGTGAGGTGAAAGTGTTGAATGATGATGAAAGTACGTATTTTCTTTTTGTGGATTTTCTTTCTTTTTGAGTCACCCTGCCTTGGTGGGAGATGGCCAACTTGTTGAAAAAAAAAAGTGTAATTCAGAAATAACATGTAGATAGAAATGAAACAATAGGTTCAGATGTCTGTATTTTTTGACCTCTATCTAAAACCTTTATATGTTGCAAAAGAGTCAGGGGCTGAAATATGCCGTTCTTCTCATTTATTATTTAATCACTGTCTCCATGTACTTGATGCTAAAATACATTGACTAAATGAATGTGCAACAGATAGGTAACTTTGGTATGAAGCGTTTTCACCTACACTAAGTGACTAAGTGTTTATAACACTCTAGTTTTCTTATTGTGTTATAAGCTCTTGAGCAAAAGTTTATGAAGGCTAGAGGATACTCACACATAACTGGTAAAGTAAAGTTTATTTCTTTGTAAAGGTTACAGTGCATAATTACAATTGTGATTTGCTAAGTACAAAGATAGCCACTATCATGCCGAGGCATTTCAGGCAAACTAATCCTAATACATAGTAACTAATTAAAACCAGATGAGATAATAGTATATAGTAACTATACTTAAAACTAGACAAGTAATAGTGGTTAGCTGTTTTACAATCTTATTTAAACTTAATACAAGTGAGTATTATTATTATTATAATCAAGGGGGAAGTGCTAAACCCGGAGGATTATACAGCACCTGGGGGGTGGATGTGGAAGGCATTCAGGCTTAATTCGGGGAACTGGAGCACAGATCCAATTCCCTAAATCAAGAGCCCCTCACCAACATCAAGGAACCTTCCTTGAAGGGTACAAGTGAGTAGGGTTTGGTAAAATAAGCTTGAAATTTCACACAAAATCTACCTTACAAGTAATGGTGCAGCTGGTAATATTTTATTGAATGGCAGAATGTTGCATTTTTTTTTTTTTCCAAACTGCCAATATCCCAAACCCCTCCTTTAAAGTGTAGGCATTGTGCTTCCCATTTCCAGTACTCAAGTCCAGCTATATAAAAATAACCGGTTCCCTGAATCCCTTCACTAAATATTACCCTGCTTACACTCCAACAGCTCATCAGGGTAATATTTAGTGAAAGGATTCAGGGAAACCGGTTATTTTTATATTTTTTTGCATATTATATTCTGTATATTCATGGAAAATGCTAAACATAAGAACAGAAAAACACTGCAGCAGGCCTGTTCTCTTATGCTAAGCCACTTCTCAAACCCAACCAAAATACATGGGGACCATTCAGTGTGGAATGTATGTAGTTAACTTGCTTTTGTGAACTGTTCTGGAGGGGCTGGAATTGTGAACACTAACATAAGGAATGAAGAGAGAGGGTGTTTCGTGTGCTGAGAGTCAACAGGTTGTAGCTAACAAGTAAACCTACTAATGTAAAAGGGGTCACAGGTGATAAATATGAATTCATCATCATAAGAGTGGTAAAATATGGCTTAAAAAATTGTACTGCAATAGTGTTTTTAATTCATAGTTAATGTCTTTGCAGGATTTTATGAAAAGGTGACTGCCCTAAAGGCAAAAGGCATTAAGGTGACTCTGGCTATTGGTGGGTGGAATGATTCAGCTGGTGACAAATACAGCCGCCTGGTGAACGACCCTGCAGCTCGCAAGAGGTTCAATGAACATGTCATTGAGTTCATCCTGAAGCACAACTTTGATGGTCTTGACCTGGACTGGGAGTACCCTGTGTGCTGGCAAGTAAGTATTATTACCCAACAAATCTAAGTATTATTAACCAACAACATCTGAATAGTATTAGCTTGGTCAGTGAAGTTGAAGCCTGACCCCTCACTCCATAATATATAAATAGAGATACTTAAAGGTTTACCCTAGTCCTTAAGGTAGTGTTGGAGGGTTAATCTTCATCTTAGGTTAAGTTTGGTTAGATTAGATTAGGTTAAACTGATAAGGTATTCAATCAGATGAAATTATTTTGAATATAAAACCTCCAGTGGAAAGTAAACTGGGAGGACAGTTTTCATTTGAGCACCTGGGGAGGAAGGGGGCAGTACATTGTCAGATGAATACCCAGTTGGTGGATTAAAATCTTCAACTGAATACCTAGGGTAGGGGCAAATCTGGGCAAAACTCATCAGCTGAATACTAGAGGGTAGGGACAGATCTTCAGCTGAATACCTAGGAGGTAGAGGCAGGTCTTCAGCTGAATACCTAGGAGGTAGAGGCAAATCTTAGCTGAATACCTAGGAGGTAGAGGCAGATCTTTAGCTGAATACCTAGGAGGTAGGAGCAGATCCTCAGCTGAATTACCTAGGAGGTGGGTGCTTATCTTCAGGTGACCTAATATTTTTTCATCTTGTGTTTTGTCTCTTTCAGGTGAACTGTGAGAAGGGCAATCCAAGTGACAAAGCATCATTTGCAGCCTGGGTCAGGGAGTTGCATTATGCATTCAAGCCTCATGGTCTTCTTCTCTCTGCTGCTGTGTCACCCAGCTATAAAGTTATCGATGCTGGTAAGTCATTTTTTAATATATAATTTTTTTAACACACCAGCTGTCTCCTACTGAAGCAGGGTGTCCTGAACAAGAAGATACAAAAGTTATTCCTATTTTTACAATTAGTAATTTACACAGGAGAATGGGTAATGTTACTAGCCCCTTGCTAGTTTACCTTATTGAATAATTTTTTGCAAGTGAATACATTTAGTTTATCAGCAAACATGAATATTATTAGTCTACCAACACTGAATCACCCATACAGATTTAATTCTTTGTGAATATAAAAATAATAATAATAATATATCCAACATGAATATTATCACTGTATTGTGGCTTGGTAGAATTACCAGCAATATGTTAGGCAACAGAACACAGTTGCAACTAATGCAACATTTTATTCTCACAGTTGCACCTGTATCCTTTAACCTAACATATTATTGGTAATTTTACCATTTGCACAATAAAATGACACATTAGCTCCACATATCTTTTTACCTAACATTGTTACTGTAGTTTAGCAGCCTAAATATTATTAAAAGTTGCAAACTTAGCAAGCCCCTTTGTCCAGGTTATGACGTGCCACAGTTGAATCGTTACTTTGATTGGATTGCTGTGATGACCTATGACTACCATGGTCACTGGGACAAGAAAACTGGTCATGTTTCACCTATGTACTATCACCCTGAGGATGAGGAGCCTTTGTTTAACACGGTAATTACTAAGGCAGAGACCTATGCCTTACATTAACAAAATCTAAATTTCTGTATGCAAAGTAAGATACTATTTCAAGGGGACTGCTATAATTGTTTTATTGATTGTATAGAGTAAAGGAGTTTAATGACTCACTAACTGTTGAGTGATAGAATTCAAACTCATTGTCTGGAATTACCAGCCCATTGTCTTATAAACATATTATTCAGACAATTCATGAATTAATAAAATCCAAAGATAAATGCTTCCTATCATACATTAAAATTTTATTTTGTAATTTATTGAGTAAAACAAGTGTACAATACAGGACAGTTTTTTTAATGCACCAGCTGCATCCCACCTAGACAGGGTGACTTAAAAAGAAAAACAAAAGTTTTTCTTTTTATGAAAAACTTTTCTTTTTAAATTTAGTAATACAAGACATACATTGTACATTGTGTAGTAATAATTGATTAACATGCTGTTTAATTATGAAATTTATATCACGCTAACCTTTTTGCTCTAGAACTCTACTATCCACTACTGGATCGAGAAAGGGGCTGACCGTAAGAAGTTGGTTATGGGAATGCCTTTGTATGGCCAGGCCTTCTCTCTGGGGTGGAATGCTAAGGACACAGGTCTTAATGAACCTGCCCCAGACAAGGGTCAGGCTGGACAGTACACCCGGGCTGCTGGTTTCTTGGCCTACTACGAGGTAAGAAAAAGCAAAGCATCTTCCTTGTGTTGATGGTCATATATTTTTTTTTTTACACGTTGGTCATCTCCCACCGAGGCAGGGTGACCCAAAAAGAAAGAAAATCCCCAAAAAGAAAATACTTTCATCATCATTCAACACTTTCACCATCATTCACACATAATCACTGACTTTGCAGCCAATATCCCAAACACTTCTTCTAAAGTGCAGGCATTGTACTTCCCACCTCCAAGACTGGATTCTGGATTCCTGGATTCAGTTTTCTTCTATTCACTGTAACTTACCTAATGACCATATGTTAAATTACAGTACTGTTATTGCCTTATTAATCTTCAGTTAGTCTTAAGCTTGCCCGAAATGCTCTGCATATGAAGGGGCTTTTGGCATGTTCACCAAATTGTTACACTCCTTTGTACAAACATGTATCATGCTAAAATAAACTTGTTATTATTTTATTATTTTTATTATCACACTGGCCGATTCCCACCATGGCAGGGTGGCCCGAAAAAGAAAAACTTTCACCATCATTCACTCCATCACTGTCTTGCCAGAAGGGTGCTTTACACTACAGTTTTTAAACTGCAACATTAACACCCCTCCTTCAGAGTGCAGGCACTGTACTTCCCATCTCCAGGACTCAAGTCCGGCCTGCCGGTTTCCCTGAACCCCTTCATAAATGTTACTTTGCTCACACTCCAACAGCACGTCAAGTATTAAAAACCATTTGTCTCCATTCACTCCTATCAAACACGCTCACGCATGCCTGCTGGAAGTCCAAGCCCCTTGCACACAAAACCTCCTTTACCCCCTCCCTCCAACCTTTCCTAGGCCGACCCCTACCCCGCCTTCCTTCCACTACAGACTGATACACTCTTGAAGTTATTCTGTTCGCTCCATTCTCTCCACATGTCCGAACCACCTCAACAACCCTTCCTCAGCCCTCTGGACAGCAGTTTTGGTAATCCCGCACCTCCTCCTAACTTCCAAACTACGAATTCTCTGCATTATATTCACACCACACATTGCTCTCAGACATGACATCTCCACTGCCTCCAGCCTTCTCCTCGCTGCAACATTCATCACCCATGCTTCACACCCATATAAGAGCGTTGGTAAAACTATACTCTCATACATTCCCCTCTTTGCCTCCAAGGACAAAGTTCTTTGTCTCCACAGACTCCTAAGTGCACCACTCACCCTTTTCCCTCATCAATTCTATGATTCACCTCATCTTTCATAGACCCTCCGCTGACACGTCCACTCCCAAATATCTGAATACATTCCCTCCTCCTACTCTCTCCCCCAAATCTGATATCCAATCTTTCATCACCTAATCTTTTTGTTATCCTCATAACCTTACTCTTTCCTGTATTCACTTTCAATTTTCTTCTTTTCCCACACCCTACCAAATTCATCCACCAATCTCTGCAACTTCTCTTCAGAATCTCCCAAAAAGCACAGTGTCATCAGCAAAGAGCAACTGTGACAACTCCCACTTTATGTGTAATTCTTTATCTTTTAACCCCACGCCTCTTGCCAAGACCCTCGCATTTACTTCTCTTACAACCCCATCTATAAATATATTAAACAACCATGGTGACATCACACATCCTTGTCTAAGGCCTACTTTTACTGGGAAATAATTTCCCTCTTTCCTACATACTCTAACTTGAGCCTCACTATCCTCGTAAAAACTCTTCACTGCTTTCAGTAACCTACCTCCTACACCATACACCTGCAACATCTGCCACATTGCCCCCCTATCCACCCTGTCATATGCCTTTTCCAAATCCATAAATGCCACAAAGACCTCTTTAGCCTTATCTAAATACTGTTCACTTATATGTTTCACTGTAAACACCTGGTCCACACACCCCCTACCTTTCCTTAGCCTCCAGCTAACCGGTTTCCCTGAATCTCTTCACAAAATATTACCCTACTAAATGGGACCTACTAAATAGTAACTATCAAATGTTATATTTACAGTCTGGAAAGAATATATAAATCTGTTCATCATTGATGGTTAGCAGTAGCCCAGTAATGTACTTAAGGTGTTTCTACACATAAAAAGTGTAAAAAAACATTGATCACTGATACAAGCTACTTTAATATACTAATATTATGATTTATCCTGTTACAAAAGTCCTGTTCACATTTTAATATATCTTAATATATCTTGGCTATCCACAGATCTGTTATAGAGTCCAGGCAAAGGGTTATACACTAGTGAAGGACCCTGAGGGTAGGATGGGACCTTATGCACATAAGGGCAACCAATGGGTGAGCTTCGATGATACAGCTATGATTAGATACAAGGTAGGTACTGTGCTATATATTTATTGTAAATATTTAATACTGTATTTTAAATCCAATGTGAATAGCTATATTGTAGGTGACAAATTCAGGACATTTATTAAAGAAAATGTTTTGCCATGGAAGGCCTTTTCTTACTGTACATAGGTGTCTTTTTTCCACATGTTGGTGATAAGGTTCCAAGTGAAATGTTAAAATCTAATTTGGGTGACTAAAAAAAGGATCATATGCTAGTGAACAGAAGACATTTAGAATTATTAAAAATAAAACTTTACTAGATAAGAACAGTCTGTCATTTTCAGTGTGATCTCCATCTCATCAGGCTTTTTGGTCACATTTTGATAATATTTTGCTCTATATATTAAGTGGTTCTTCATTTATCTCATTAAATTTTTCCCACTCCATTGTATTGTTAAACAGTGAAATGTATGTACAATATTTACTTTTACATATACATGTACTATGTATATATTTATGTATGCATGTGTGTTCATAGTTAGTACTGTATTATTACTGTGGTCTTAACTATAGTCTTTGTATTTGCTTGGCAGTCTGAATACATCAAGAAGATGGGGCTGGGTGGTGGCATGATCTGGGCGCTAGACCTGGACGACTTTGGGAATCGCTGTGGCTGTGAGGAACACCCACTCCTTCGGACCATTAATAGAGTCCTGAGATCATCCTTCTCTATATCAGAACCTCACCCTCCCTGTGACATGTGATCCATGCATTTTCCCAAGATTTCTGAAGGGAATGTGGCTTTTGCTAAAGAACCTTAAGGACATGTAGCTTGTATCAAGGGACCTAAGGTTTACTTAGCTTGTGCCAAAGCATCTGGGGCTAATATGTCCTTTGTCAAAAAGATATAAGGCAGACATGTCTTGTGTTAAGGGTCTATGAATAACTTATACCAGAGGATCTAAGAATAACAGGTTGTGTCAAAGGACTTGAGAAAGTCTTCTGGTATCAAAAGGCATCTGGATATAAATTTGTATTGTAATATGTAAGGATAACATTGCTTGTGCCAAAAGAACTTTACCATTTGTAAAGAACTATAGATATTAAGACACATGCAGCATACGAACCAGACAGTCTCTTCCCAAGGATTCCTTTCAACAATGCTGTTCTCACAATTCAAATGAAGACTAAAATTCTATATGCTATAGTTATGCCTTCTCAATCTCTTTCTGTTATGCAGGCAAAAGTATTGTGATAGGAACCACTGATAATACAAACAATGCAGGGGAATAGTTTCACCATTGTTTTAATTTCTCTACTGCTATTTATTATTTATTTTTTGTAAAAAAGAGAGAAAACATGTTATTTATCATTGTTTAACTATCAAGACCTTTACAGGATGGGCAAGTTTCTAGTGAAGATTTGTTATACATGTACAGTACCTCAATGGTTTAAAAATAAAAAGGAGAGTTCTGAATCAATTACTAGTACCAGTCATTTATTTATATTGCCAACTGGAGGTGAGCTGTGTATGGTTGTTATTATTATTATTATTATTATTATTATTATTATTATTATTATTATTATTATTATTATTATTATTATTATTATTGTTATTGTTATTGTTACTACTATTATTATTTTAGTGCTGGGCCGGATTCCAGAACTTGTGGCATTATATAACACATTATTTATCAATAAAACATTTAAAAATGCCTTTTGTACAGTATTAAACCTTATAACCAACATTTTTAATATTTTTTTTTTCAACAAGTCGGCCGTCTCCCACCGAGGCAGGGTGACCCAGAAAAGAAAGAAAATCCCCAAAAAGAAAAATACTTTCATCATCATTCAACACTCACCACACTCACACATTATCACTGTTTTTGCAGAGGTGCTCAGAATACAACAGTTTAGAAGCATACACATATAAAGATACACAACATATCCCTCCAAACTGCCAATATCCCAAACCCCTCCTTTAAAGTGCAGGCATTGTACTTCCCATTTCCAGGACTCAAGTCCGACTATATGAAAATAACCAGTTTCCCTGAATCCCTTCACTAAATATTACCCTGCTCACACTCCAACAGATCGTCAGGTCCCAAGTATCATTCGTCTCCATTCACTCCTAACACGCTCACGCACGCTTGCTGGAAGTCCAAGCCCCTTGCCCACAAAACTTCCTTTACCCCCTCTCCAACCCTTTCGAGGACGACCCCTACCCCTTCTTCCTTCCCCTATAGATTTATATGCTTTCCATGTCATTCTACTTTGATCCATTCTCTCTAAATGACCAAACCACCTCAACAACCCCTCTTCTGCCCTCTGACTAATACTTTTATTAACTCCACACCTTTTCCTAATTTCCACACTCCGAATTTTCTGCATAATATTTACACCACACATTGCCCTTAAACAGGACATCTCCACTGCCTCCAACCGTCTCCTCGCTGCTGCATTTACCACCCAAGCTTCACACCCATATAAGAGTGTTGGTACTACTATACTTTCATACATTCCCTTCTTTGCCTCCATAGATAACGTTTTTTGACTCCACATATACCTCAACGCACCACTCGCCTTTTTTACCTCATCAATTCTATGATAAACCTCATTCTTCATAAATCCATCCGCCGACACGTCAACTCCCAAGTATCTGAAAACATTCACTTCTTCCATACTCCTCCTCCCCAATTTGATATCCAACTTTTCTTTATCTAAATCATTTGATACCCTCATTACCTTACTCTTTCCTATGTTCACTTTTAACTTTCTACCTTTACACACATTCCCAAACTCATCCACTAACCTTTGCAATTTTTCTTTAGAATCTCCCATAAGCACAGTATCATCAGCAAAAAGTAACTGTGTCAATTCCCATTTTGAATTTGATTCCCCAAAATTTAATCCCACCCCTCTCCCGAACACCCTAGCATTTACTTCCTTTACAACCCCATCTATAAATATATTAAACAACCATGGTGACATTACACATCCCTGTCTAAGACCTACTTTTACCGGGAAGTATTCTCCCTCTCTTCTACACACCCTAACCTGAGCCTCACTATCCTCATAAAAACTCTTGACAGCATTTAATAACTTACCACCTATTCCATATACTTGCAACATCTGCCACATTGCTCCTCTATCCACTCTATCATATGCCTATTCTAAATCCATAAATGCAATAAAAACTTCCCTACCTTTATCTAAATACTGTTCACATAAATGTTTCAATGTAAACACTTGATCTACACATCCCCTACCCACTCTGAAACCTCCTTGCTCATTCGCAATCCTACATTCTGTCTTACCTCTAATTCTTTCAATTATAACCCTACCTTATACTTTTCCTGGTATACTCAGGAAACTTATTCCTCTATAATTTTTACAGTCTCTTTTGTCCCCTTTCCCTTTATATAAAGGGACTCTACATGCTCTCCGCCAATCCCTAGGTACCTTCCCCTCTTTCATACATTTATTAAACAAAAGTACCAACCACTCCAACACTATATCCTCCCCTGCTTTTAACATTTCTGTCATGATCCCATCAGTTCCAGCTGCTTTACCCCCTTTCATTCTACGTAATGCCTCACGTACCTCCCCCACACTTACATTCTGCTCTTCTTCACTCCTAAAAGATGGTATACCTCCCTGACCAATGCATGCAATTACTGCCTCTCTTTCTTCCTTAACATTTAAAAGTTCCTTAAAATATTCTCGCCATCTACCTAATACCTCCATCTCCCCATCTACTAACTCCCCTACTCTGTTTTTAACTGACAAATCCATACTTTCCCTAGGCTTTCTTAACTTGTTTAACTCACTCCAAAATTTTTTCTTATTTTCATTAAAATTTCTTGACAGTGCCTCTCCCACTCTATCATCTGCTCTCCTTTTGCACTCTCTCACCACTCTCTTTACCTTTCTTTTACTCTCCATATACTCTGCTCTTCTTATAACACTTCTGCTTTGTAAAAACCTCTCATAAGCTACCTTTTTTTCTTTTATCACACCCTTCACTTCATCATTCCACCAATCACTCCTCTTTCCTCATGCCCCCACCCTCCTATAACCACAAACTTCTGCCTCACATTCTAATACTGCATTTTTAAAACTATTCCAACCCTCTTCAACCCCCCCACTACTCAACTTTGCACTAGCCCACCTTTCTGCCAATAGTCGCTTATATCTCACCCGAACTTCCTCCTCCCTTAGTTTATACACTTTCACCTCCCTCTTACTTGTTGTTGCCACCTTCCTCTTTTCCCATCTACCTCTTACTCTAACTGTAACTACAACTAAATAATGATCCGATATATCAGTTGCCCCTCTATAAACATGTACATCCTGGAGCCTACCCATCAACCTTTTATCCACCAGGCCCGGTGGCCTGGTGGCTAAAGCTCCCGCTTCACACACGGAGGGCCCGGGTTCGATTCCCGGCGGGTGGAAACATTTGACACGTTTCCTTACACCTGTTGTCCTGTTCACCTAGCAGCAAATAAGTACCTGGGTGTTAGTCGACTGGTGTGGGTCGCATCCTGGGGGACAAGATTAAGGACCCCAATGGAAATAAGTTAGACAGTCCTCGATGACGCACTGACTTTCTTGGGTTATCCTGGGTGGCTAACCCTCCGGGGTTAAAAATCCGAACGAAATCTTATCTTACCAATACATAATCTAACAAACTACTTTCATTACGTGCTACATCATACCTTGTATATTTATTTATCCTCTTTTTCATAAAATATGTATTACTTATTACCAAATCTCTTTCTACACATAGCTCAATTAAAGGCTCCCCATTTACATTTACCCCTGGCACCCCAAATTTACCTACTACTCCCTCCATAGCATTTTTACCCACTTTAGCATTGAAATCCCCAACCACCATTACTCTCATGTACTAATTTTAAATTATGTGGTTTGGAGTCATGAATGAGAAGGATTGATATATTGGAGATGACCCATGCGAGTTTTGAGCTTCATGAAAATATATTAAAAATGATATGACCCTACTAATTGACATGAGTGGCTCTTAAAAATTTTATGTTGCAGGGGCTTAGGAGTGGCAATCTGGATGAAAGAGTGGACTAAGGAGAAGATAAGATAAGATAAGATTTCGTTCGTATTTTTAACCCTGGAGGGTTAGCCACCCAGGATAACCCAAGAAAGTCAGTGCGTCATCGAGGACTGTCTAACTTATTTCCATTGGGGTCCTTAATCTTGTCCCCCAGGATGCGACCCACACCAGTCGACTAACACCCAGGTACCTATTTGCTGCTAGGTGAACAGGACAACAGGTGTAAGGAAACGTGTCGAAATGTTTCCACCCACCGGGAATCGAACCCGGGCCCTCCGTGTGTGAAGCGGAAGCTTTAGCCACCAGGCCACCGGGCCTCCAAGGGACTTGTCTTTATTATTTTCATGGTTAAAAACCCCCCAGGACCCCAGTAGAAGTATATCACTAATTTTTTGGGTTATACTAGGTAATTTTTACATTTTTTTTTCAAGACTCCAGTCGTCTCCCACCAAGGCAGGGTGACCCAAAAAGAAAGGAAATCCCCCAAAATAAAATACTTTCATCATCATTCAACACTTTCAGTTCACTCATACATAATCACTGTCTTTGCAGAGGTGCTCAGGTACAGTAGTTTAGAAATCCCTCCAAACTGTCAATATCCCAAACCCCCTCCTTTAAAGTGCAGGCATTGTACTTTCTATTTCCAGGACTCAAGTCCGACTAACCGGTTTCCCTGAATCTATTCACAAAATATTACACTGCTCAGGGCTGGATTTATAAGGGGGCAACTGCCCCGGAATCCCCTGTCAGAGGGGGCCCCCAAACGAAGGACTCCCTTTATAACAAAATGTAATAATAATAAATTTAGTTTAATTAATAAAAGGAATTAACAAATTGTGTGGGGGCATCAGAAAATAAAAAGAAAGGGTACCCCCTACCCTCTCTCCCTTTGAATAACTTGACAACTATTTCTGGTTAGTGTCAACTTATAGGTAAATGACCAGACCATGAGGTCAGAGGTGACCAGGGTGTGCACGTGCATGTGTCTGTGTCTCTGTGTGCAAGGTAGCTATTATGTGTATGGCTTTGATTGGCTATGTTGGCCTCGGAAGGACTATTTCTGGTTAGTGTCAGTGTAGAGGTCAATGACCAATGAGTCAGTTGGTGGCCTGGGGGCCTGGGGGCCTGGGGGCCTGGGGCTATGTGTCTGTGTGTGTTCGTCGACTGCTTTTAGTGCAGTGCTAGGCAATGGTGTGGGGCAGTGGTCCATGTTTTAGATCTGTGTGTCGCTCACAAAGGTTTGTGATATATCATTTTGCAATTACATCTTATTTTTGGCTTTAGTAATGTATACAGGAGAAGGGGTTACTAGCCCCTTGTTCCCGGCATTTTAGTCGCCTCTTATGATATGCATGGCTTACAGAGGAATACGGCGTGTGCTGTCAGTGGCCCTGAAACCCAACAGAAGACGAAGAAGCTTACAGAGGAAGAATTCTGTTCCATTTCCCCATGGAGTTATTATTTATTTTCTGAAACTGTAAAGAATCTTTTTCTGAAGGTATTGGTACCAAAAGTATAAAATTTGATAGAAAATTTACAGAATTACACAATCCATAATAGACACTCCTGGGACTAAAACATTTTCTGTGTTCATATTAGTCACATCCCCAGGCCTTCCATTTTGAT